ATAAAGATTCATAGAAGAACCAAAAAGAAATTTTAGATTTGAAAAATAAAATAACCAACAAAAACCAAACCAAAGTCAACAGATAGGCTGAAGAGCAGAATTAAAGAGAAAAAGAATCAGTGAACTCAAAAGACAGAAAAACAGAAAGTATGTTGTTGTGTGAACAACAGAAAAACTGATTAAAAAAAAGAATTAAACAGAGCATCAGGAACCTGTGGGGCTGTAACCAAAGATGAACTACTCATATCAATCAGAGTCCCAGAAGGAGAGGAGAAAGGGCTTCAAGAAATAATGGCCAAAAATTCCCCATATTTGACAAAAGACATAAGCCTACAGATTTAAGAAGCTGAGCAAATCCCCAAACAGGCTGAATGCAAAGAAATACATAGAAAAACCATCATAAACTCCTGAAAATTAAAGACTAAAAAAAAAATCTTGAAAGCAGCAAGAAAGAAAAGACACCTTACCTATAGGGGAAAAATAACTTGAATGACAGTGGATTTCATCAAAAACCATGGAGGCCAGAAGGAAGTGGCACAACATTTTTTAAGAGCTGAAAGAAAAGAACTGTCAACCCAAAATCCTATACCCGGTGAAAATATCCTCCAGGAATGAAGAGAATATTAAGACATTCTCAGATGAAGAAAAACTGTCACCAGCAGATCTAATTTAAAAGAATGTCTAAAGTAATTTCTCTAAATAGAAAGAAGAAACCTTGGAACACCAGCAAGAAAGACTACAGTGAACAAAAATATGAGTCAATATAGTAGACTTTCCTTCTCCTTGTGAATTTTCTAAATTATATATCTTGCAATTGCAACAAAACTATAATGTTGTCTGATATGGTTCTAAATGTATCTAGAAGAAATATTTAAGACAATCACATTATAAATGGGTGAGGGTAAAAGGACGAAGCTAGAGGTAAGGTTTCTTCACTTTAACTGGTAAAATGATGATACCAGTGGACTGTGATATAGTACATATATATAGTGAAATATCTAGAATGACCACTAAAAAGCTAAAAAAAGCCATAAATCAAAAAGGCATCACAAATAATGTTCAAGTAACAAGAGGAAAACAGGAAAATGAAAAAAGAAACAAAGACAGAGAAAACAATAAAATATCAGACTTAGGCCTTAATGGATCAATAATCACACTACATGTAAATGGATAAATATACCAACTATAAGACAGAGATTGGCAGAGTGCATTAAAAACTATGACCCAACTGTATGCTGTCTATAGGAAACTCACTTCAAATATGATAAAGGCAAGTTCGAAGTAAAAGGATGAAAAATTTGCATCATGCAAACATTAATCAAAGGAAATCAGCAGTAGGTATATTAATATCAAAAAGTACACTTTAGAGGAAAGAAAACTATGAGACAGAGATGGACATTTTATAATGATTAACAGAGTCAATCCACTATGAAGACATAGTCCTAAATGTGTACACACTAAACAGAGCTGCAAAATATGTGAAGCAAAAACTGACAGAAGTGGAATGAAAAACAGACAAATCCTGGAGCTGGAGACTTCGATAATCTTCTGTCAACAAGTGATGAAACAATCAGGCAGAAAATCAGCAAGGATACAGAAGAACTCAACAACTCTAACAACCAACAGGATCTAACTGACATCTATGTAACACTCCATCCAACAATAGCAAAACACATATTGTTTTTCAAGTGCCCGTGGGACATATACAAGATAGACAGTATTCTGGACCATAAAACAAACCTTAACAAATTTGAGACAATCGAAATAATACAGAATGTGTTTTCTGAACACAATGAAATCAAGCCAGAAATCAAAAAACAGAAAGAGAATGGGAAAATATCCAAACACTTACAAACTAAATGATACATGTCTATAATTCATGGTTCAAAGAGGAATTCTCAAGGGAAATTTTAAAAAATACATTAAACGGAATGAAAATAAAAATACAACAAAGTGAACTTTGAGGGACATAGCTAAAGCAATGCTGAAAGGGAAATTTATAGCACTGAATTAATACACTGAACGAGTGGAGAGTCTCAAATCAGTAATCTAAGCTCCTAAACAAAAAACCTAGAAAAAGAAGAGTAAAATAAAATCAAAACAAGCAGAAGGAAGGGAATAATGAAGAGCAGAAATTAATAAAATTTAAAACAGAAAAAAAATAGAGAAATGAACAAAGAATAACACCACAAATTCTGCAGACATCAAAAGGATAAGGGAATACTATGAACAACTCAACACACAGAAAATCAACAACTTGAATGAAACAGACCAATTTTTTGGAAAACACAAACTATCACAACTTACTCAATATAAAAGACATTTGTATTCAATAATTTAAAAACTTCCCTCAGAAGGAATTTCTATGCCCAGTTTCACTGGAGAATTCTACTAAATGTTTAAAGACTTAATACCAATTCTAGACAATGTCTATCAAAAAACAGAAGAGAAGAAAGGGAACATCCAATTCATTTTATGAAGCTAACAATACCTTGGTATCAAAACCAGACAAAGATAGTACCAAAAGACAACTATAGATGAATATCCCTCATGAATATAGATGTAAAAATCCTTAGCAAAATATTAGTAAACTTGGAGTTTACTGAGGGGTAAGAGGCTGGTTAAATATTTGAAAATCAATGTAACCTACCATAATAATAGGCTAAATAAGAAAAGTCACATGATCATATTAATTGCTGCAAAAATGCATTTGACAAAATTCAACATCCATTCATGGTAAAAATTCTCAAAAAAACAGGAATATAGGGGAGAGCCTTCATCTTTGATAAAGAGCATCTACAAAAAGTTTAGAGGTAACATTACACTTAATGAATGTCTTCCTCTACCAGGAACAAGGCAAGGATGTCTGCTCTTACCACTCTTATTTAACACAGTGCTGGAAGTTTTAGTGCAATAAGGTAAGAAAAGGAAATATAGTCATATAGATCAGAAAGGAGCAAATAAAACTATCCCTATTTGTAGATGACACAGAAAATCTCAAGAAACCTAATAAAACCTCCTAGAACTGACACCTGAGTTCAGCAAGGTTGTAGGACAAAAGATAAATATAATACCATTTACAATTACTCCAAAGAAATTAAATACTTAAAAGTAAACCTATAAACATGTACTGGACTTGTTTGCTGAAAAACTACAAAACAATAAAAAAAGAAATCAAAGATCAAAATAAATGGAGGGATAAATAATAAGCTTTAATATAGTAAAGATGTCAATTCTCCCCAAAGTGATATATGGGTTTAATGCAATTCTTATAAAAATCCCAGCAAGAATTTTTATGGATATAGAAGAGTAGTCTAAAATTTATATGGAAAGGCAAGGAATAAGAAAAGTCAAAACAATTTTGAACAAGAAGTGGGAGGAATCAGTCTCTCCAATTTTAAAACTTATGATACAGTTACAGTGATTGATACCTACGCTATTGGCAGAGAAACAGATAAACAGATCAGTGGAACAGAACCGAGAACCTAGAAATAGTTCCATACAAATATGTTCAACTGATTTTTTGGACAAAGGAACAAAAGCAATTCAATGGAGGAAAGATGGTCTTTCAAAACAAATGGTTCAAGAGCAACTGCACATCAACAGGTAAAAAATAAACCTCAATCTAATAATTCTCTCCATTTATGTGAAAATGAACTTAAAATGGATCACAGACTTAAATGCAAATTATAAAACAGAAAAAAACTGAGGAAAATCTTTGGGATCTGCAGAGTTGTTAATACCAAAAGTATGATCCACAAAAGGAAAACTGATAATTGGAATTAATAAAAATTAAAAACTTTTATTCTGTGAAAGACAATGTAAATGGGATAAAAAGACAAATTACAGGATGAGATAAAATATTTGCAAACCATATCTGACAAAAGACTAGTGTCTAGAATATGTAAAGAACTCTCAAATATCAACAAACAGAGAAACAATGCTATTAGAAAAAGGGCAAAGGACATGAAGAAACACTTCACTGAAGAGTCATGCATATGGAAATTAACCATATAAAAAGTTGTTAAACATCATTAGCCATTAGGGAAATACAAATTAAAACCACAACAAGATATCACTATGCACCTATCAGAATGGCTCAATTAAAAAATAGTGACACTACCAGTTAGGGTGAGGATAAGTGGATCACTCATATATCACTGGTGGGAATGTAAAATGGTGCAGCTACTCCAAAAAGTTTGGCAATTTTTTAAACAACTAAACGATGTAACTACCATGTGACCCAGCAATCAAATGGAAATAGATGTTCACATAAAATTTATATGCCAGTGTGTACAGAAGTATTTGGAATAGCAAAAAATTGCAAACAACCCAGATGTCCTTCAATGGATGAATGGTGACACAAACTGTGGGACACCAATACCACGAAATAGTACTTAGCAATAAAAGGGAATGAATTATTGCTACAGACAGCAGTATTGATCAATCCATAGGGAATTATGCCGACTGACAAAAGCCAATCCCCAAAGGTTACATGTTGTATGATTTCATTTACATATTCTTATAATGACAAAATTGTAGAAATGTAGAAAACATTAGTGGTTTTCAGGGATTAAAAAGGAGGTGAAGGCAGGAGGGAAGTGGATGTGGCTATCAGAGGGCAACATGATAGATCTTTGTGGTCAAGGAAATGTCCTGTGTCTTGACTCTATCAATGTCAGCATCCTAGCTATGATATTGTTCTACAGTTTTGCAAGATGTTCCCACGGTGGGAAACTGGATTAAAAGGCACACAGGATTACTCTCTATTGTGTCTTAAATTGCACCTAAAATCTACCATTATCTCCAAACCAAATATTTCATTAGAATAGAAGTTCAATGTAGTCTGTATGTTGACAATTTCAATAATAAATGTTGGGGAAAATTCAATGTAATTGCAGCAATGCAATCAAGTTCCCTAAGACCACACTACCAAGATAGTCATTTCTCTCTTGATAGTAAAGATCGTGCAGAGTACCAATACAGCACATCTGACTCACCGTTTGTTTCTGAAGGCCATCTAATTTGTCTTCAGTATTATCTTCTTTCTCCACGTTACTTCTAAATAAAAGTAAGAAAAAAAGAGGCATTACAGACTACTTAGGAGCTATTCTGCAATGAGGATGCTTATAAGAAACTCCCCTAAATCAATGACCAAAGTGAGCATTAGTAGATCCCTTTTCTCACAGGCCTCAAAATCTTGTTTTTCCAGTGTCTTAACTTCTATGGGCAAGTTCACAGACCGGCTGTTCAACAATGATGCTATAACATCAAAGGTAATTACTGCCTATCAGGAGTTGGCTTAGTACGTGGTTGTGATAAAAGAACAGACTCTACAGGCAAACCAAGCGAAGCCTGCATGCCCACCCCAGCTACAGGGGAATAGTCTTCACACAGTCACTTACACTCAGCAGCAGTCACTTCCTTGCAAGGAAGCTCTGCTGTGACTGCTAAGAAGGAAGTACACTTTGCCCTCATTCCCAACACACTTGCCTCTAAGTTAGCTGCCTGATGTCTTCTCCCTGTTAGCTTAACCACTGCTGATGTCTCTCTATTTTTCATGATTCTTCTTAAAACTGACTTGAAGTACTCCTGTCTAAAATATTCTTATCTTTACTGCTCAGGCCCCGAGGCAGTAGCATTTCCTACCTTCTGCTAAGCCACAGAAAGACAGCCTCCCCACAAAAATCTAAGCTTTATGCCATTTAGAGAGTTACGGTAATTCAAGTGTTCATTGGGGTTAAGGACAGGTGGAAAACGCACCCCTTTTCTTGGCCTTGGCAGATGGCAAGGAGCTCCTGACAGTACCACACCCTCATGTCTGGCAACAGCTCTACCCAATGTAAGCAGTATCTGTTACTTTTGAAGAGATCAAGTCAAAAACCTACCAAACCCAAACCTAGAGATATGTGGTTATGTTTTCCAAATACATATATATTTTGGAGAGCCACAGCTTTTGGATGTTTGTTAAGCTTTCCTATGAATTTACACATTTTGGTGTTATGCCAACAGTAAATAAAACCCAGTCATGCTTCCATACTTTCTGTACACAACCCATAAATTCCATGGCCATCAAGCAGTGGCTCCTAAACTCACCTTACTCATGGACCATGCAATCCCAAATTAATGCTGGAATTTTACCTGAGATATTTCAAGGTCAGGAAGCCTGTACTTGCTGTGTCTCTTCTTAGCTTTCTGCCACGTATGAGAGGTCAGAATTCTGCCTTGAGCCTCCTCTGACCAGATGAGAGGTGAGTCTGGTTAAGGAGTGGGGCAGGTGGTGGCAGCTTGGGGAGCCCACAAAGAACAGGAACTGGTATTTGGTTCAAAGTACTTAGATATCAATGGAAAGGCTTGTGGTGTAGCAGGATGGAACCAAAGCAATTCTGGAAAGCAATTCCAGCAAGGTGAGGTTTAGGGGAGAAGTCAGACCCTGAGGAAAAGACTATGAGAGCCTGGATATATGAGGAAGGGTCACAGATTCATGGCATGGCATGGCATGTCACATCAGAGGGCCGATGCAGCTTCTCACCTTTCGGGTATGTCTGAGGTCCCATCTGCAACACCCTGTTCTGCAGAAAGGGACTTCTCATCTGGCATCCCAACTTTCTCCAGGAAGCAAAGTGCGGGGTCTGCTCGCATGGCATTGTACCTCTCATACCCTGATAAGGAGCAAGGAGCAAGATCAGAGGTCATGTCAGAACCCACAAACCCACCCTGGGCCTCGGACAGTCATTTGGTTTCCCTATTAAGTAAAAAACAAAACAAACAAAAGTGCTCATTTCAGTGTAATTGGAATCTCCTATCAGGGGAAGATCCTTGAGCTCAAGTCAAGTGCACACCTCTAAGTAGTGCTTGACCAAAAGTGAAATCTTATATAAATAATCTCTGTCCATGAAGAGACACCAGGCACAGACACATTCTCATTTGTTTGCTCTTTTGGGCAATAAAGGGAAGCAGGGAAGTTGGTTTTGCAATTTCTCCCCTTCATCCGCCAACATTGGACACTTTGTTATCTCCTAAACGGGCCTTGCTTCCTGATAGTCCAGTTTTATCCCATGTGTTAGGGAAGCTGAACAAAGTGATGGATGCAAGGGATGAAATATAAAGACCACGATTATGTTAACTGCATGAAAGTGAACCTGTTGCCTTTGTATTCACAAACTCACTACAAAATCCTGATCACTACTGGCCAGGGCTTTTGAATTGCCTCTCACCACATCTCCACAGTAAAAAACTGATGGAGAACTGTGGTTCAGAAAAGAAACCTCAAAAGGAAGGCAAGGCAATGGAAAACCTCACTTTTACTTTGATAAAGCCCATGTGTGGGAATTTTTTTTATTGACTCTAATGTAATGGAACAGGATCTGGTCACGTAAAAGATCCAGATCTATCATTACATGGAACTATCTTAGGGGAAACTCCTTCATGATCACAAAAAACCTCTCTGTGTGGCTGCTAGCAAACAAAGTCAGCTGCCAGCTCTGTAGCATGTACATGGGGCCCCCATGACAGGTGACAAGATGCTGCATCTAAAGTGAGAGCCAGCCCGGGTGCTAGTAACAGGCTTTGTGGGCTATTTCATTTCTCCATTGGCTTTTTTCTAATTTATTTTGCTATCATTAATGTACAATTACATGAACATTATGGTTACTAGACTCCCCCTATTATAAGGTCCCCACTGCATACCCCACTACCATTCCTGAGTCAAATGGTATTTCTATTTTGAGTTTTTTGAGGAACCTCCATACTGCTTTTCACACTGGTTGAACTAGTTTACATTCGCACCAGCAGTGTAGGAGGGTTCCCCTTTCTCCACATCCTCGCCAACATTTGTTGTTGTTTGTTTTTTGGATGTTGGCCATCCTAAGTGGTGTGAGGTGATATCGCATTATGGTTTTAATTTGCATTTCTCTGATGATTAGCGATGTGGAACATCTTTTCATGTGCCTGTTGGCCATCTGAATTTCTTCTTTGGAGAACTGTCTGTTCAGCTCCTCTGCCCATTTTTTAATTGGCTTATTTGCTTTTTGTTTGTTGAGGTGCATGAGCTTTGTCTAATTTCGGTGTCAACTGCTTATCGGATATGTCATTTATGAATATATTCTCCTATACTGTAGGATGTCTTTTTGTTTTGCTGATGGTGTCCTTTGCTGTACAGAAGCTTTTCAGTTTGATATAGTCCCACTTGTTCATTTTTGCTTTTGTTTCCCTTGCCTGGGGAGATATGTTCATGAAGAAGTCACTCATGTTTATGTCCAAGAGATTTTTGCCTATGTTTTTTTCTAAGAGTTTAATGGTTTCATGACTTATGTTCAGGTCTTTGATCCATTTTGAGTTTACTTTTGTGTATGGGGTTAGACAATAATTCTCCATCAGCTTTTGTTCTACTATCACTGGTGATGCAGCTCTCTCTGTCCTTCACCCTGCAGGCAGCGCTGGGGACCTTCTCTCTGAGGAGCAGGTACCCCCAAAGTGCCTCTTCTGCCACCTCAGTGACAGGTGCCGCCCGCATGAGGCATACGGTAGGGCAACTGTGGTGCCTTTTGTTCTTCCTTGTGCACAAATTCCTTAGGGCAGAGATGGGATTACTCTGTCTCTCTCCTAAGATGGTGGGCTCCTTAGGAAAAGAATCCGTGCTTGTTTTTACTCTTCATTATGTATTCAGTGCCCAGCACAGGGCACTGTGCACACTACTGGCTGTGTGAGGCATGTTACCAGATTCTCTTCCAATAATCACTGGAGGAAGAAACATTTGCACCCTCTCCCCACGTTCTACCCCAGCTCACACCAAAACAAAAATGCCCTCGATGCTCTTGCTGTCTCGAGGAAATTCATTCTGCTGTCTCCGTCTGCTCCATTCCATCAAGAGGGTGCTTTGTCTGGTTGGAGGGATGGTGAGAGCTTCCTCCATGGACCCTTACTATTGAGGGAGGTTAGCTGGCTGTAAGCACCCTACCTTCGTGCACTCTGAGCCCGACAGCCAAGAAGTGGGTCAGGTTCCTCCAAGGGCTTATCACCTGGGGAAGTTTCTACTCTGCATATTTCCTCTTGGTACGTGTGGGTCTGAAGTCTCGACAGACTCTGCATTTCTATTTCTCAAGCCTCTGTGAAGTCAGAGGTGAGAAGGGGCCTGATACAGTCCCTCAGAAGAGCCTGACAGCTGTCCTGAGAAAAGCGCAGTAGGAGCCGTACCAGCAGTACAAACAACGATGAGTAAAGCCAGGCCTGGGCAGGGCGTGGGCTGCTGGCCTCTTCACTTAGTCTAAAAGCTCCTAAGCATGTGGACAGAAATACGAAACTCCCTATCTTGATCAAAGCTTCATAAACCCAGGCTGCCCTAGAGGAGTGGAAGTCACTACATGCAGCTGAGAGCTGTCAAGAGCATCATTCAGGATGGGTCTGCTACAGGGCTCTCGCTGCTGCAAGCAATCAAAGATTCAGCCAAGTCCTCCACGGGGGTAGCTCACAGAGGGAACTGCGGCTATGTTCTTCTGGTGTGAGCAGGGTTGTAGCAGGCCACGTCTGGGGTGGACTAAAGAGCCACAGATCCTCAGACAATGAGCAGCTGTGTGTTCTTAACAAAGAAAATGGTCACAGCACTATAGCTCATACCTATGACCCAAGGTGTGGAGGCGAGGCAGACAGATTCCTGGAAAGGGGCACCACACAGCCTGGCTGACTGAGAATGTTCCTTCGCCACCAGCACCTGGTATCGGGGAGTTTCCCTGTCACCTGTGAGACATGCTGTGTGGGCTTGGTTAAACTGTGGCAAGGGCACATTATACAGGGTGGTGAGGTGTGTTACCCAGGTGAGGCCAGGCCTAAATCTATGCTTGTGGAATGTCGGATGGGCACCCAGCCAGGGGCAGGATCTGACTGGACTCGGGAGGACTCCAAGGAGGATGGGCTGGGGGGGCCCACCACAGGCACCAGTCCAATGTAGTCTAGGCTGACTCAATGTGACAATCCAACTAAATGGGTCTCGTCCTGTCTGAAAGTGAGCCGTCTGTGTGGCTTACATCCAGTCCGCTCAGCCCCCTAGCGCTGGGACCAGAGGCTGGGTTTCCTCCATCTTTACAGGTTGCCTTTTAAATGCATCACAAGCCACGATGAGGTGCTTCAGGCATTTCACACATCACCGTTTGGCACCTGACTGAGTTCACCTCAACTGGACAGGAAACAGGTCAGAGAAATGCATGGCTGGGGACAGGCATTTACTAAGTGGCAGAGCTGACAGTGAAAGCTCGGGGTAACTCTTTTTTACTGTGAACATTGCTCTCCAGTCTAAAATTTCAGTTAATGCACCTGGCAGGGAAGGTGAGTACCAGGCACATTGCACTGACTACCAGCCGGCGTCTTCATTATTCATTTTCACCACTGGCTGAGTGCAAGAGCAGCTGATCAGAACAGCGCCTGAAGTGAAGGAGGGCACGCGCATGTAGGTTTCTCCAAGCTACTTTAGGTCCCTGTTATTATATTTAATAAAAGCATGTCCATGCCACATTCTCTTCTTAAATTTTATGCCAATAGGGTGAAAGATACACACTAGGAATATGGAGATTATCTGGAATGGCTTTAGAATTCTATATACACATGAAACGGTAATACCTAACATTTTCCCCATTAATTTATTCCTTCATTCAAGAAACACTGGATGCTTTCTATGTGTGAGGCACTGGGCCCCAACTAGGTCTGCAAGAGTAAATGTGAGCGAGGCAGACCCAGGACCGACGGTGCAGACAGGCCATGTGAAGAAGATGCTCAATGAACCAGTCTTGGTGGCCCCAACCCCCTTTCCAAGTTCCTCACTGATACTAATGGTTATCATATTCTCATGGCTCACACATTCATCCAGTTGAAATTCTGAGAGGACAGAGATGAGGCTCTTTCTAAGAGAAACAGGCAAAAGGACATGGAGATTTACAGGAAAGGGGACTGAAATACACACCGTGTTTGAACACACCAATCAGAAGGGACTTATCAGCCTCAGCATCCCACCACTCCACTGGGATTTCCACGTAGTCGATGTCAGGCAGAGGCACTTCCAGCTCCCTGTGGAAGGAAGGGCATGGGCTCAGAGCTCCTTCAACACAGACAGAGAACCTTGCAAGAGCTACTGGCTGAACCCTGGTATTAAGCCACATCCCTGACTGCCTGCTTAGATGCTGAAGTAATAAGGACTCAGAAGGCTGTGGGACAAGGTTTCTTAACCAGTGCTTCCCATCAGGCTCACCTAAGAGCTACTTCTGTTTATGTACTTGGTTCCAGGCCCATCTTAGACTGACACAGAACCTTGAAGCATCTCTTGGAGGACCGTCAGTCAGTCTGGGGCAAGGGACCCTGGGGCCTGACATCACCTTCAGGTGAGAGCCAGAGCACAAGCTATCTGTCATCTGACGGTAGAACACTTCCCAAACGGCTGAATTAATACATGATCAAAGTGCTGGAAAGAAAAAGGCCCAAGTCATCTTGGTTCAACATGCAGATCTCAAGCACTATTTGAGACACAACAGCCTGAGTTAGTACCTGCAGAGACAGGGAGAGAGCCTTTCAGAGGACAGGTGACACTACGGGTGGCACCCCCTGGCAATGGGCTGCTTAATAGTCTGTTGGGTCAAAACGGATCAAAAACTGCACTGCTTCTGGCCAAAGGGATGAATATTACTCACCTGGGGAGCAGACATACAGAGACGGAGCAGGCCTGTCCCCTCAGCCTTTCCCTGACTTTCGGTCCTTGTCCTGAGATCTCACACGGGCCCTTAGCACACTATCTTCACCTGTCTGAGTGCAGTCCTTACTCTGGAAAGGCTTTGGGATGTGGGGGAGAACATCTACCTGGACAGCTCCTCTTTCCTACCTCCCAGCTGCCTGGGATGGTTCTTCTGCAGCATCTGAGTTCCTTCCACCGGGCTCTTACCGAGAGGCTCCCTCTGAGGGGACAGTGTTCCCAGGTCCCCACCTTTCTAGACAGCTTCCTAGAAAGGGGCCTCTGCGGGGCACATTGCTCTGCCTGCACAGTGCCATGGGCTGAATAATGCTCCTGGGATGAACTGTTGTTCATTCCTCATGGCAGCTTCTCCACAGTAAGGCACTAAACTGAACAGGACCTATGAGAGCCAAGATTCAGGGGCACGGAGGAAAGGAGGGAACGGGCAGGCAATGGACTCACCCTCTCCATGCTCTACCTAGCTCGGACCCATCTGTATGTCTAAGAAAGCACACGGCACAGGGATGAGTACATTTAGGTAGATTACCTCTGCCAGGTAATCCCTGATGTAAATGATCAGGTTGAACTGTGCTACATTTATACAACTCATGAATTGAACCTTTTGGCCAAAACACTCAACACCCCCATCCCAACTAGAAATGACTACAGAAAGCACGCTAACAGTCCTTGTGATGACAGCTCCTAGTTATGAGCTACCCAGTGAGCAGGACTATTGATGTCTTTCACCTTTCTCCTTCTTCAGTGGTCTTGTGACCACGGAAGCCATTAGCACTGCCCAAAGGAGAGAGAGAGAGAAAGAGAGACCACAGCCCCTGTAATCTCAAGCCAAGCGCACACTTCTGATGTCCTCTGGGGATGGCAGGCATTGTCCGGGGCCAGAGCAAACGACAGGTCTGGGGAAGGGGAAGGACACTGTCTGGTGGCCCCACCTATAAACTCTGATTATCCGACAGCTTTACCAAGCGGTAGCAGGGAGCTCTGGCAGCTCATCCCTGAAATCCTGGGCGATTGTCACAGGATTCTACAGCTTTGGAAACATTAATTTATAAAACAAAGGTGTAAACAGGTCACAATTATTATTAATATGATTAGCAAATAAAGGAGAACTACTCAAATGTAGAAGAGTATGAGGGCTGAGAGTGGGAATTCCAGTGTGCACCTGTTGGATTAAATGTATCTAAGTAATTCATACACATCCTATGATGACAGTTTTAAAAGCAGTTTTATACTACTGGGGAAAAAGAAAACTAAAAACCTCTAGGAAACTGTTTTTTCTCCTTTATTTTACCTGTAGATGATCTGTCTGGACTGTCCTAGCTCTGGCAGCTCATCCCTGAAATCCTGGGCGATTGTCACAGGATTCTACAGCTTTGGAAACATTAATTTATAAAACAAAGGTGTAAACAGGTCACAATTATTATTAATATGATTAGCAAATAAAGGAGAACTACTCAAATGTAGAAGAGTATGAGGGCTGAGAGTGGGAATTCCAGTGTGCACCTGTTGGATTAAATGTATCTAAGTAATTCATACACATCCTATGATGACAGTTTTAAAAGCAGTTTTATACTACTGGGGAAAAAGAAAACTAAAAACCTCTAGGAAACTGTTTTTTCTCCTTTATTTTACCTGTAGATGATCTGTCTGGACTGTCCTCACCTGCCCTGCCTGCCCTGCCATCTAGGACACCGATCCAGGGGTGAGTGGAGAACACGGGCCTCCTGAAGCACGGGTAGGTCTGGCTATTTCTATGAACAGGCACTTGATGGCAAGTCTTGAACACTGAGAGCCTCAGGCTGACTTGTTTTACCTGGAGGGAGTTCCTTCAAATGCTTTGTCAGCTGCTTCTCCCAGTATTTCAGCTTTTAGGTAGTACAGCATCCGGACGCGCAGAAGTACCCTACGCAAGGAGAGCACACAGTGCAAACACGTCAGGACTGTGAGCTGCCTGGGCACTGTCACCCACAAGCTGACACAAAGAAATTTGGACATTCCCATGTCGTTAGTGATACAAACTAATATATGAGAAACTAGAAAAATAAAACTGATGACAGCTGTTACTGTGATTACTCCTGTTTTACACAAGAAAACTGTATCTCGTTAGGCAGAAACAGCGTTCTCCAGGTACTTGGGAGAGGGTGGCCCCTTCCTTATGGCCACAATAACCTCTTAGGCAGAGCTGCATTCCAAGAGACTGGTAACCGGTTTGCTAGTTTAGTCAAGAGTGAGTCACACTGAACGGTGTTTTCGTTTCCCTTGAACATAGTTAAATAAATATTAAGGTCAAAGAGTAATCACGGATTCTCCTGAGGTGCTCAAGTCACTGTGACTCCACGGGACTGCACTCAGGCTCCACGGGAATGCACCAGCCATGCTGGAGACAAGGCAATTAAGTAAGCATTTGCCGGGCACCTGCTGCGTGCCTGCACCACACTGGGCATGGTGAGGCACATGACAGAGTAAGCCATTCCCCATTCTTGCCGAGCCTGCAGCATCCAACTGTGAAACAAGACCAACCATAAAAGAATCTGAGCACAGCAGATAACCATAGGGGTAGAGGGAGGGGAAGAGTCAATTTATACAGACACAGGTGAAAGGGCAGGTGGGCACAGAGAAGCTGACCGTGTTCCAGGAGATGCTTCACAGTCACAACTACGCTGCAAGGAGGTTTGGAAGAGTTCAAGTAACTTGCTCAATACCAGTCAAGAGTAAAGCCTAGCTATTAAAAAAAAGCACATTTACATGTAGAGGAGCTGATTTCCACTTAACTTGTTTAAGAAAAAGAGAGGGCCCAAGTAGTATGTAAAGTATATCCTATCTGGGGAAGATGACAGGAGGCATATGATTCACCTTTGCTGGTACTCGCACCGGGCAGCCCTTGGACGGACGGGGTGAGCAGTGGTCGGCTGCCTTTGGAGGGGGAAATGGGAATTGCAAGTGGGAGGAAAACTTGCTTTTAACAAAGTTTTTTTTAACACATACATGTACTGCCTTTTCAAAAGATGTGAATAATGAAGGGCTGAGGCCTCTGAAAGAGCATAATTTCTTAGATCGGGGTAGAATGTGCCCCCGTGGGCTCAAGTAGTAGGTGGCAACACAAACAATTAAGAACTTTTAGAATGGAGTGAACCCTTACTTTTCTGGTATGCCATTCCTCACCTCAGCTGTCAGTCAATGCAAATAATTTCAAGATTTTCTTTTTAAAGCTCAGACAGTAAGAACTCTTAAGGACTTATAATTGTCGTCGATCTTTCTACCCAGCTGGCAGTAGCTGATGACCTCCTTAGCGAGAACTGGAATGACAGTGTCTTAGGTACGGAATTCCTGCCTACTTAGACCTGATTCCATAAGAGAAGGCCTTCCTGAAGATGTGAGATGGAGCTCTATTTATCCAAAGAGGAGAAAATGTGTTGGTGTTTGGCAGTATCTATAGCGTGAGAACATAATTTAAAGCCAACAGTCATCACTTGTTCTCCAAACGGGAAGCAAATCAATTCAGAGGACAGACGAACAACTCCTCTTGGAGAACCCCCTCCCACAGAGGGAGACGATAATTCCAGCTGGTGTTTGAACTCATTTGTAACAGTCTTACTTTAGCCAAACAGAATTTTCAGAATGGAGTGAACCCATTAATATTTTAGGCATCAGTATTACCTTTTCCTTATTAAAAAAAAAACTTTTCTCTTGTTGATATGAAACATACTTCCAGAATATGCACTCTGCTTAAACATACAGCTTGATGAATTTCCACAAACTGAACTCACGTGTATCCAGGATCCAGACTGGGAAGCGGAATGTTTTCCCAGAAGGCCCCTGGTATTCCCCTGTAGTCACTGTCCCCATCCCCACGTAGAGTCACCGTCCTGACTGCACAGAGCTTAGATTTATAGTATTTGTTTTCTGACTTTTGAAAGTTCTTTTCATGACAATCTCATGACCCTAAATACTACACTACTACTACTATTAGACAATGCTTTGTGTACTTGCTATGTGCCAGCATGTATTAGCTCACTCACTCCTCATAACAATGATAAGAGGTAGGAACTATTATTATTCTCATTTTCTAGATGAAGGAAAGAAGGCACACAGGTCAAGTAATTCACCTGCTGGTAAGTAATGGAGCCCAGATTTGAATCCAGGCAGTCCTGACCCCAGAGCCTATCTTAACCCTTTATTTGCTATTGGGGTGGCAGTAAATCTGCTATTTATCACACCTCCAGCTGAAGAAATTCTGACTATTCTCCATTGTACCTCAGCACAGAACCAGGACCCAAGATCAAAGGGTGGAAGTTTCAAGAAAGTAGATTTTAGATTCAATATACAGAAGGACAATTAAGTAGAATCATCTGGTCATTAAATGAACGTTGCTAGGAAGGCCCAAGCAGAGGCTAGAAGATGCCCTGTCAGGATACTGCCCACGACTCTCACACTGAGAGGAAGGAGCTCCGAGTCCCCGCCAGCTCTGAGACGCTGGCTGAGCCAGAACTAAGATGACAGTGGTCTCCATTAGACTCAGAATAATAAATAACAATTAGCATCTTTGAACTTGAGATGTGTCTTACTGCTTGATTCCCAGGTCAAGCATGCACTAAGAAAGGGCTAAGGGGTGGTGGCTAGGGATGCTAAGGAATTCCTCAAAGGTGGAAATTGGTTCTGGCCATCCTCTGTGACCATTTCTGCAGCGTCAAGGGACGTTCTCTGTCAACCTCCAGCTCAGCCTATGTTCAGAGCTCCGGATGCACACTGCAGCTGTGGACATGACGGCCAAACGCTGCTGGAACTGCACAAGGCAAAACCTGAGCCCTTCGCTTTGCTCTTCACCCTCCAGTGAATGTGACAAGTCTGATTCTGTCTTGGCTACAAACGCTGCCATTCTCCTGGCCCATGAGGCTTATAACCACAGAGTTAGCTGCTTTGTGTATGCCTCATCCCACATTATGGACTCTTCCTCAGTCATGTCTCTCAGAGATGACCCTTTCTCCCCAGTTCTACCATCAGCACCCTAACCTCGGTCCTCACGATCAATACTTAGATTACGACAGAACTCTCCCAGTTGGCCATTCATCTCTAGGCTTACTCCACCCTGCAAACTGCTGCTGATCCATTTTTCTCCCCAAATACATTTGGTTTTTTTTTTTTAATATCTCACTTGTTCAAGAAATATGGTTGCTTCCTATTTACTGAAGGCTCCTCAGTAGCCTGCTGCAGGGCTCCATCAGCAAGACCACGTACCTAGCCAGCCTCCTCTTCTGTCCCTACATGGTAGCTGACTTAGTCACATGGAGTCTGCTGTCGGATCCTGCCCCAGTCAGGCTCTACTACCAACAGCGTGTGCCCTTTACCTCTCAGCCTGAGAGCTACTGGCCCCCAAGAGCGTGTACTTTGTGTAGTTTTTATTGCAGTATTGGGCATGAGACCTATCTTCAAATATTTGAAGGAGTAAAGGGAAAGAATTAGAATTCATCTGCAAAAGAAAAAAAAAACACAACTCAACAATAACTACAGAACCATCAGGTTGATGTAACAGGGAGGAAGGTGAAACCTAGCAACACATCTTAATTTATGAGGCAATCAGCTCTTTGTAACCAGACGTTTGCAAGCAAAGGCCTTCCCACTGCCTACCAGAAATGCTGGGAGATGACACTTGCATGGCCTAGGAAGCTGAAGTAGATGATTTCCAAGGGTCCTTTAAATTTTAATAGATATATTGTACAGTCAAACAAATATCCAGGTGCAAAGTTGTCACTGTTTTGTGGCTAAGTGCCCTCACTTCCCAAAACTAAACTTCACAGGTTTCATTTTCTATTATTTTTTCCCCTTTTCCCTGGCACTCCCTTCCCCCAATGGCAGAGGTATCTCCCTAGGGATATAAAGAATACTACTCATATGCATGTCTATCAAATACCTGGAGGCCATGAAAAGCAACAGCAAATTAGAAGAGGAAGCCATTTGGCATGGGGGCACTGAGAGTTGTGGCCACTAGGCCCAGTCTTCTGCTCTTGCTAATGTGACCTCAGGGGCAGAGAGAGGAAATAAAACAGTGCTATCACCACAGTGTCCTAAATGAATTTTGAGAGTCAGGTCAGAAAAACTCCTGTGGATACAAGCTATACTGGCAGAGAGGCCGGGGTCTGGGAGAGAGGAGATGTTGCTAACAGAGTGACAGAAGCTTCCGTGGATGGTTCCTGACCCAGCTTAGACCAGTATCCTGCCCTTCCAGACCTCGCTTGATATACAAGGGTGTCAGATGGTGTCCCACAGCCCTCGAGGGGTCGCAGGAGTCTGGATGGTCTGAGTGTGCTGCATGAGGGGAGGGGAGGGCACACTCACTTGTTACAGTGCTGTTTGAGGTGCTTCTTGTAGCCGTCGTCATGCAAGACCACCTCAGGGTTGCAGGTGGCCAGCCAGTCTGCATTCTTTAACTCTGGGAGCAGCAGCTGGTTCTTCGTCTTCTTCCCCTTTCTCCCTCTGGGAACTGGAGCAGACAACCCTGGAACAGAAAGGCAGGCAGATGAGCCAAGGGCCTCAAACATGGGTGTTAGGGTCCATGCTCCCTGGACAACAGACCCCCACTCCTCAGTCTACCAAACAGGGGTGGTGGTGAGGAGATGAACCCAGTCCCCTACTTAGTAAACTCCAGGACTGCTCAGTCAGGCAGTAACAATTTACTGAGTACCCTGTGAGGATCAACAAGTATGTCCCATAACCTGTGCCTTCCAGGAACTTACAACCTGACTAGGGAAAAGGAATACTGTATCTGAAACTCGACGGTGAGCTGTGGCCAAGCATAGGGAAGAAGCACAGCCCAAGAAAAGGCTCAGACGGTGGTGGGGCCGGGACAGAAGGGCAGGGTGCGGAAGACCACAGGGCACATGGCGTGAGTCCCCAGTTCAGAGGGGGAGCCCCGTGACACTTGGGTTAGTGGGTAGGACCGGCCTGTGGGAGACTTCAAGGGGGCCCAACTGTACTTAAACAGCACAAGTAACACGGGATGACTCAGAGAGAATGAAAAGCCTCGTCATCCCCTCCCACAGGTGATACTCCGCAATGCACGGGAAAGGGAAGTCCCCAGAAGCACAGCGACGTGGGCCGAACAGGACGAGGGAGTGCGCAGGAGTTTGTGCTTCTCAGGCGCGGCCCTGCCGCCTCTCACCTGAGTGGTTCTGGAGGGTCTGGGCCTGCCCATCTTTGGTAGGTGTGATCAGTTCCCAAATGAAACTCTTGATCTTCTCATCCCCCTTGTAATGCTTGACACAGTACACCAGCAGGGCACGGCAAATCATCTCCATGTCCTTCTCATTCAGATGCCACTTGAATCGCCCATGAGTCAGGATGTCTTTCCACCGGCCCCAGCTGAGAGTGGAAATACAGAAGGGTGTTGGAGGGAGGAAGGGCCGGGCGTGCCCTCAACACCGCAGGACAAACAGAGGAGCCAAGAGTGCTTCTTGTCCTCTGCTGGGTCTATTGATCGCCGTGGGCTTTGTCCTTAACAGCCTTCGAGGACCGCATGCTGTAGCACACCAATGTCCTTCAGGTGACATGGACACTGGACACTGAGAGCTTCGTATGGCCACTAGAATGTTAAGAAGGTAGGGACAAAAATATCTGGAGCAGAGAAGAAGTTGGGAATTAAATCAGACTCCAGCTGCATATTCAAAAGCAATGGTGAGCTCCCAGAAACTAAACCTTCTATTTCTACCGGAGCCAGGGCCCTGCACGAATCATGTTTTGGCTATAACATCTGCTATACTGACTCCTTACGCATCCTCAGGGGAGAAAAGCAGGAAATCAGTACCACGCAGCAAATTAGTAACAGAGATTTGCTGTGACAAGCATATGAGAAACTCAGGGCAGGTCTACAAAATGGCAGTGACTTAGGGGGTCAGGGGCAGGAAGCAGACAGCTCTCTCTTGTCTGACAGATCCTCCATCAGCCCCGGACCCCCGAGGTGATGGGAGACACACTGGACAAATCTCAGGGACTGAAAGACAGAGGGAAAGGGCAATAACTAACAGGCAGAGCCCATACCCACCCAAAGATGAGCAGGTTCTTCTCTACCCGGAAGCATTCAGCTCGGAGGTAGCGTCTGGTTTTGTCATTGAGGCGCCTGGACCTCGTGGGCCTGTCGTCAGAGTCGCTGTCTAGCTCGGAGAACTCCATGAGCTCATCCTCCTCAAAGGAGTTGTAGTGTTTGGTCTGCTTTCTCACACGAGGCCGGTCGAGCACTAAGCTTTCCTAGAAACAGAGAGGACTGCTGGGGAGAAAGCCCCTCTCTGCTCCCACCACAGTGCCCAAGCACATCCTCAGGACATGTGGGGAAGAACGACACCCTGGGGTCAGCCTCCAGCCGCAGAGGCCCTTCCCAGCACACCTGCTGTGTCTGCAGCAAGCAGAGGGGACTCTCGGGGAATTGCTAAGGTTGGCGTGTTCCCAGACCAGCACACTGTCCGCCGCCATCTGCTGTTTCTGCAGTCATTCCAACAGGGCTATGGCAGGCCAGGCCCCCCGGGCCCAGAGTGACAGTCTGCTCTTGCCAAGAAAGACGGGCAGTGTGTTGTGCCCCCACATTTCTGCCCAGCATGCAGAGGCAGTCTGCGCTCTGGAGAAGGATAAGCCGGAGGAGAATTCCACCTGCTCGGCAGCGTTCTGAAGACAAACACATACTCCTGCTGCTCCGCTTTCTGCCTCCGACTGGCATTGACTACTAACCTTTTATCTTTCACTAAAAATCCCTAGCTAAGGAGCTGCGTTCATTCTGGAGGCTTCCTGGCCACAACCTCTGCTTCTTGTCTGGTCTCCACAGTTCGTGCTCCTGACCCTTCCCTTGCACCTCTTCCCAAAGTGAGGCTAAGCTCTGGAGTACTCCTCTCTGTGGGGTCCAAATTTCTAGTGCCACACCACCTGCTTCCCTCCTCGGAACATTCCAACACCACTTCTCACTGCCTATGGCAGGAGCTTTTCTTCCCCCTTTCCCACTGCCCTGCACACAGAGTAACTTCTTGATTGTGACACTGTCAAACACTCAAAACAGGATACTAAAGGGATTGCAGAAACTTCTTATTTGGAGAAAAGAGCTTGAGTTAAGCAACCTCTGGCAATCCTACAGAAGAATAGTTAAGGCTGGGTGCTGGTTACCGAATCAGACAGATATAAGCAGCACCTGTTTCCTGGGTCCATGGCAATTCAACACTCACCCAAGAAGACAGGTAGGTGACATGTGCTCATCCTGTGGTGAGGTGGCAGGTCAGAGATGGAGGGACAGGACATGAATATGTAAAGGCTGCCTCCCAATGTGCTAGGCAGGGTATGGTCACAAATGTTATCTCCAATCTGTAAACGGGGCATCACCACCTCCTTTTGCTACATGTCTTTGTTCACTTGTCCTGGTGAGGAAGGCCTTGCCCAAAGGCATACAGCTGGTGGCAGAGCCAGCATCCAAGCTCTGGTTTCATTCCAAGGCCATTCTCTCCCTCATGTTCAAATAGGACAATTAAAGATACTGGAAGAAGGGAAGTGAGGTCAACAATGCTTCTTTATTGTACTTTCCCTCTTCCTAGTATTTGTCAGAGGTGAAGTTTCTTCCATAGGAGGTGTTTTAAAAAAAAAACAGGTAAATTAAACACATGCCACAGATGGATGCTTGCTTGGGTCAGAGGGCTACGCTTGACCTGTGTGGTCAATTCCAGTTCTAATTGCCTTTGTCAAGTTTCCCAGGTGCCCAGCCAACTGTATGTCCCATGAGGTCATTTTAAAATTAGGACAGTTAACATTCATCAAGCTCTGTCTGTACGCCAGACATGTTTTAAGTGCATTATGTATAGCATTGCTTTTAAGAATTAAGGCTCGGGAGTAAACAATGACTTGAGCTGTGTGGGAATCATGGTCCTGTAAGACACCAGTGAAATGTTCAATGGCAGGAAACATTTTTAATGCTGTACCTTTTCATTCTTTGCTTCAGTATCCAGTTCAGCTATTTTAGCCCACTTCTGCCAGAAGTTTGGGTCATCTAAGGAAATATCTGTTCTGTTTCCTGAAGCCACAAAGCTAGCCTGCAAAGAAGACAGAGTCAATAAACTGCACTTGAACACAGTACAAATGAACAGAACACCTGTGTTATTTCAAATGCATCGGAAACTCAAGCACAGTATCCATCTACATTCAAAACCAAAACCCCCAATAAAGCCTTCAAAATGAATGTGAAAATCTCAAAGCTATTCTTTCTAAGTTTTGTTTTAAAGATTGGGTGAGGAAATTACAATTTTAACCTATAGGATCACTTTTTGGAACTTAAACTTGGAAGCAGGAAAACAAGCCTTAGATGATAATGACCGTATGTTCCTTGATGTCTAGTTCCCTGTGAAAGGGCTAATTATTAAAACTTGTCTAGGTCTAATTTTTCTTTCAGTTCACAAATCACCAAATCTCTGCTACAGGAAAGGCACTGAGCTGCACAGTGTACAAAGACAAGCAATGCTTAAAAAAAGCGCCAAAGGTCCTTCTGAAAAAGCCCTACGTAAGTCACCAATAGGAGACGCAACCCAACAGGTCACACAGCTCACAGAGCCGATGGCCAGGGAAACCCGAGAGTGGTCCTCTAAGTGGTCAGATGAACTCAATTCTATATCCAGTGACCTGAAGGGCAGGGGAGAGAGGCACCTGCACTAGAAGCTGGGCATCTAGAGGAAAATCTCTTTTCTCATGAACTGAACAAAACCCTTGCTTGAGTTTGAGGAATGGAGTGTTCACTGGAATTTCAACAGATCAAGGAGTGAGTGCTCTTAGGAGAAAAAGTAAGATGACCAGTCAAGGCTTTCAGAGCAGTCTCTGTGAGCAGAGAATAGTGCAGACTAAGCATCTACCCTGCTCTCTGAGGACCAGCAGCCAAAGAAGTGGTGTTTTCTTCCTAGTCTCCGGCTCATTATTCAGACTCCCTCTAAAACCACGCATCTTCAGAATGTCACAGAGAACAGATGTGTAGCTGGGCCATTTCAATGGTCTGCGTTTAGAGAAACAGAAGCCTCGCTCACGAGGGTCAAAGAAAACACAATTCTGGCTTCGTCCCCGCTCCAACACAGCCTCTGGAGAGAAGGTCCTATACCTTGGCAAAGGTGGATCCTTGCCCTTCACACTGGATGGTAATGGTGTGCGTTCTCCTCTGAAGAATCTGATCTATGTCTTCTTCACAGAACTTGGAGCCCTCGTCTTCCTCGTCCATTAAGGCTCCATAAGCACCTTTCCGGAGCAGGTCTTCTACCTCCATTTTTGAAAGCTGTTGTACCTGGATAGGTCACGAAAGGCTACTCACAAAGTGGAAAATGCACAGGAGAAAAACAGACGCAAATCTGGCCTTTGTGGTTCAGTCCACAGCCACTTATTGCACATATCAGACGAATAAAGACATGGAAACCCAGATAAAGATGCTCAAGAGAACCATGGGGAGGGCAGGCAGACGATCCCCTAAAGGAGCTCTGGAATAAAACCTGGCTCCTGACCCAGCGGCCCTAACGCTCTCCAGGGCTCTGGTCATTACCAAATGTCACAGGCCATTAAAACTATGCATGACTGAAGAGGATATCTTTGATGATTATTTGATGTTTAAGTTTGGGTCTGTAGTCTTTAAAAACCTCCAGATGTACCAAATGAGCTAAAGAATAGTTATTTATTCATTATTAAATAAATACATTAGTATTGGAAATGATGTCATTTCTTAACCGAAGAAAGGATCCGGTGCCAAGTGTGATCTTCTCAACTGCTTGCTGAAAATGGGAAATGGGAATTCAAAACAGCCTTTCCTGGTTCTAATTAAGAATCTGGTTCTCTTTATATCACTCAGAAGAGGGAATTCCATGACTCTCAGCACTGGTAACTTGCAATATTATACTCAGCAACATGTGCATAGCTAAGAGGACTAAAGACACTCATTGAGAAGGCTTCAATCCCCCGTCTCTGCTGCGCTGAGCCCAGAGAGTAAAGAGGTATCTGCTCTGTTTGCCTACACTTTAATACAACTTAAGAATCTTAGCTACAACTTTAATCCCCCTGGAAGAGGAAAAAGATTTTATTCACTGTCATATTTCAAGCTGCTAATTTATTCGTTCATTTACTCATGGCCTTATCACGTACTGAACATCTTTAATATGGCAGGCACTGTTAGGGGCCGTGGGGGATACAGATAAAGCAGGTTCCATTATCCCCTCAGGTAGTTCAAGTCTAGACTATGAGGTAAAGCACAGTGACAACTGATAATTTAGAGTTGGGATTGACTGACTAACTTCCAATGGACACTGTTAAAACTTGGTGTTATTGAATGTTGGGCAATCCTACAACATGAATACACCTATGGATTTCCTTTGCTAATCTAGAAAAGGCAAAAAGACCCGACCCTGAGTTATCCTCTACTGCAGGAAATCACCAACAAAGGTGTGCGGCTGACTCACTGGAGTGAAGGTGAACCTTAAACAGCCGTGGGCAGGAAGAATCCAGAGAGGCCCAGGTTGTGACACAGAAGATTCTCAAGGCTCCAGAGCACGTGCCGTCATACTCACTCCATTGGTGCCGCCCTTTCGGTTGATGTCCTGAAGAACAGCCTTGTCTAGACCCAGTTTCAGGCTGGCCTTGTCAAACATCTCCCGCTCGTAGGAGTTCCGAGTAATGAGGCGATACACCTTCACGGCTTTACTCTGGCCTATCCGGTGGCATCGGGCCTGAGCCTGGCAAAGAAGCAGGGTCATACACATCCTGTCACCAGATGTAATGGCAGCAGCCCAAGGAGAAGGGAAATGCTCAAACTCCACGTGGTGTGGGTGGCCAGCTTTCAGTTATGAGTCGCGGGACTGAATTAGGAACAGAATTCACCCAAATGTCAGCTGCCCCTTCAAGGTCACTCGTTTTATCACCCATTATTTATTGAGCGACTGGCATAAAGGGATGAGGACACGGCTTCCCGCCCTCCCCAGCCTTTGGTCGGAGGCCATCATTCCCAGGATGCTATCCTGCTCTCTTGGGAAAAGCTTCAGAGCTGGCAGCACCACTTTTTAATTTTTTCATTGTACTATAGAAATTTTCACACACAGACTAAAGAAGAGAAAGAATAATGACCACTTATGGACAATCCCGTTCCATCTCCACTATGCCCCCGCCCTCCAAGATTCCTATGTGAATTCTAGGCATTGGTATTACTGCACCCTTATGTATTTCAGTACGGGATTATAGAGAGAAGGTCTCTTATAAAACACATTACCAGTGCCACACTTCAGAAAATTAATTTTGGTATTAACTTTCTGGTCAGTGTTCCAATTAACCTGCTTATCACATATATGTATTTGTAAGTTTGCTTACTTGATAAAGACTCCAAATAAGGCCCTTACGTTGTAAGTGGCTGATATGCCCCAACTCTTTTAATCTATAGGCACTTGCTGCCTTTGATCTCTCCTTTTTTCAAATGCAATTTATTTGTCGAAGAGACCAGGTATGTGTCCTATAGTTTCTTAGAGTGTACATTTTGCCACCTGCATTCTGGCTCTGTCACTGAATAGGTTCCTCTGTGCCCTGTATTTCCTCTGAACTGGGAGCTGTATCTTGAGACCCTATCAGGTTGAGATTTGATTTTCAACAAGTGTATTTCATAGGTGGTATCTGAATTTCCATCAGAAGGCACATGATGTCTAGCTGTCTTTCTTCTGAGCTGATGATCATTGCCTAGATCCATATTTCACTAGGGATTATAATTTCCCTCATCAAATTTTCGGTTACCTTGATGTATGGCTCACACTGAAGAGACAAGACAAATGTCTGATTCCTTTTTATTTAATCATTTTCTAAAATAACATTCTCCAAAAGTGACCAATGAAGATTTTTATTATTAGTTTTTTTAAGGAAAACTAATTATGTATTTAAATGCATGTGGTATGTTACACTGCACTGCTGTTATCATACTTATTGCTGTTCAAATATGACCTGTGGGAACCTCTTCACGTTGGCTTCTGAATTCTTTTGACATGATCCAGTTGCAGATGGAAAGGAGGAAAACAGAATAAACTCTGGTGTTATCAATATGAACTCATTAGGCGTGTGTGTGTGTGTACACATACATGATAAAGAAATAGATAGGGATATGTCTGTATTTATGTTTCTATGTTATATCAAAGACCAGTAGTATTGCATTCTGATATGACAACATGTTTCATGCTCCAATTGTATTTATTTCCTGCCCAGACCTGGATTTAGCCATTTTTTTCAAGGAGCCATAGTTTCTTTCAGTAGGAAATGGTGGTTACAGACAATAGTCTGGATGCCCTAAGGGTGCTCACCGCTAGTAGGTTGGTCATTGCTTCTAGGCCTACTCAGTGGGCAAAAACAGAAATGTTTGCATGTGCATGTATCCATCGTGAGATCATACTGCTGTTTTTAATTCAAATTTAGGACTAAGGGACTTTAACTTCATTAACCACACGTCTCTCTCTATAATCATGTTGAAAAGCTCAGTTCTCAACCATGCCAGTATCATTTCTCACTGGATTCATCCCAAAATGTATGTAACAATCTCAGAAAAACAGTACCATTATGATCTCCTCAAAATATAATCACTGAAAACACTGTAAGATTTTTGTTTCCCCCCCACTCAGGATTATATATATCCCAGTAAGCAAGTGTAGTCAAATTACAGTATTTTAAACATACAATTGCAAGTAGGTTTCGTTTTCACAGTGGCAAGGATACCAATTGGGAAAGTACTTTCTGTGTACTCTAGGGTTGAGCAACTGAATAACTATACTGAGAGAAATAGGAGTCAGGGTTTTCACTGTTGTAGAAGGAAGTTACAAGTATGGGAAGAAGAAAAACTAGAATAACTGTGGTGTTAGAATGGATCTGGAGGTTATCAGTATTAACTCATGGTTAGGGGTGTGCATGTGTATATATAAACATACATATATACAGATAGAGAGGTAGATATGGGTATGTGTATTTATTTAGATACACATGTATATACATACATATACATATGAATGCATGTTATATACATATGTATATTTATTTTCTCTTTGTGTATGTATTCTAGCTATGTCCTAAAGCCTAGAAGCAATAGCATCGCAGTGGTAAAGAACATAACTAACTCTCAGATCTTGGTTTCTAAATGCCATTCTCCATAAAACAGGACCAAGGCACTTTAGAGAAATAGTTAATTTCAGGGCTAAGGCAGACAAAGTACAGGATGAGCCTGAAACATATTATTGGGCAAGACTGTTAGGAATTACTCAAAGAATGATGGCGAGATACCAAGATAACACTTGAAACTTGAAAAGGCTTCCACTGGCTAAGTCTAGGACTATTTGAAAATCAAAATAAATAAATATAATAATGTAATATAACCCACTGAATTAAAAAAAGAGCCCATGAGTCCATACTAACACAAATAAATAAATAAATAAATACAAAAATAAATGGGAGAAAAGGGAAAACTCTTTCTTATAGTAGAATGTAATGAATACAGAGTGACAGAAAATCACCACTTTGTAACCATCATAGTGATGACTGATTCAGGCAAAAATAATAAATGGAAAATAAAACCAGTGGGTGAGACTTTGATGAGGAACAGGACATTTATATAGTGTCAAAGCATCTCTCCGAAATTTATTAATTTCAAAGGGAAAAATAGCAACTTTATAGAGGAGAAACTGGCAGGCACCATTTAATTAAGAGATCGAAGTCCTTATAATCAGACATCATGTTCCTCTTGATGTAATACTGTGAGAAAGGCATATCACTTCAGTGGTATTACTAAATCTGAATCCATTCTGAAGAAATATAAACACTAATTGAGGGACTGTCTATAAAACTGGCCTGTACTCCAAAAACATCAAGGTCATGAAAGAAAAACAAAGGTCAAGGAATTCATCTGGATCAAAGGAGAGGAAAGAGATATGAAAACTGAATGTAACTGATACTCCTGGATTGGATCTTAGACTGTGGGACTAAGAGCTACGAAGGACACTGAAAGAAATGGTAAAATTTGAATATGGACTGGGGACTGGAGACAGTATTCTATTTTCAGATTCTGAGAAGTGAACTATAGGTATGCAAGAGAATGTCCCTGAACGTAGGAAACACACATTACTTAGGGGACAACCTACTCTCTAATGGTTCAGAAAAAAATTGGTGTGTGTGTACATGTGTATCTTTACTTATGCATGCAAGAGAGGAGAGAGGCAAAAATGATGAAGTAAATGGGACAAATGTCAACACTTGGTGAACCTGGATAAAGAAGTTTATTGGAGTTGTAAACTGAAATTACATCAAAATGAAAATGTAGAAAATATTAAATAAAACATTTGAAATAATTTCTCTTGGGGTTATACTGTCCACTTGATATATAGCTAGATTCAACTGTTCCACTTTGCTTTTGAATTTAAGGGGTCGGTTTTTACCCACAATTGATTTAATCACAATGCAGTGGGTGGGGGGAAAAAACCCACCAGAGCCAAGTAACTTTGGAAAATGGTATTTTGATTATATTCTCTGAGACTAATGACCAAAAAAACTACTATAACCCAGTATTATATGCTGGTAAATTTATTTTTCACAGAACATGGGTTAGCAATTCTGAAACTACTCTATGTATATACTAGGATTGAACAATTGAATAAATATAGTCTTTTGATAATGAGATTCAGGTTTCTCACAGCCAGAGAAAAGAGTTTCAAATAAGGAAGCAGGCAAGGCTAGAATGAATTGCATGGTGTTGGACTAGAATCAGAAATCTCCCTATGGATGGACACAGAATAAGTACAGATGTGTGGTCTGAGTGCCCGTGTCAGTATACACACATTTATTTCCTAGCTTTATCTGCTCAGAGAGTCTAAAGCAATAGTAGTCCAGTAGCAATGGGCATACCTGATAGCCAGATCTTAGCTTCTCAAGACTGTTTGTAAGTAAAAGGAACTGGAGATCCGTGGAGAAATTGTCAGTTCTGTGGCTTATCGCAGAAAAAAATGGAACATAAACCTGAGTATTTTATAGTGCCAGAAAGTAAGTGCTCAAAACTGACAAAAGTATGCTGAAGGGCAGAAGGGCCAACCTGAGGGACTTCCCAACAACTAAACCTGAACAACAAAGTAAATAACGAGAGTAATGGATTATAACCCATACAGTAAAATAAATATCCATGAGTCTATACTGATATAAATAAACAGGGGGCAAAGGACAGCTGTCTTTTTTTAAAAAATAGTATTCTAATTAATAAGTGGAGAAGTAATGATTGAAATAGAAAATTACCATTCACCAAACACTACGGTAAATTATTATAGACAAAAACCACTGACAGATGCTAAAATTAATAGGCAGAAGTATGATAAGAAACAGGATATTTATAAAGCCTCAAATATCTTCTCCCAAGATACTAATTAATCATAATGGTAAAAATAGTTACTTTAGTGGAGAAACCAGGCAGATACCACCCCACCCAAGTAATCAAGGTTAGTCGCACAAGTACTAAGATGTCTGCACATCATGTACCTGTGATCCTAAGCACCGAGAGGACCATAATTTCACTTTGATGATATTCATGCCCAAAATGTATAAACGCAAATCTGATCTCAAGAAAACACCATGCAAACACAAACTGAGAAACATTCTACAAAGCAGCTGGTCAGTATCCTTCAAAAGTGTCAAGGTCACGAAAGATAAGGAAAGACAGGAGCTATCACAGATGGGA